TACGAGCAAGCATGGTACGAGCAAGCATGGTACGAGCAAGCATGGTACGAGCAAGCATGGTACGAGCAAGCATGGTACGAGCAAGCATGGTACGAGCAAGCATGGTACGAGCAAGCATGGTACGAGCAAGCATGGTACGAGCAAGCATGGTACGAGCAAGCATGGTACGAGCAAGCATGGTACGAGCAAGCATGGTACGAGCAAGCATGGTACGAGCAAGCATGGTACGAGCAAGCATGGTACGAGCAAGCATGGTACGAGCAAGCATGGTACGAGCAAGCATGGTACGAGCAAGCATGGTACGAGCAAGCATGGTACGAGCAAGCATGGTACGAGCAAGCATGGTACGAGCAAGCATGGTACGAGCAAGCATGGTACGAGCAAGCATGGTACGAGCAAGCATGGTACGAGCAAGCATGGTACGAGCAAGCATGGTACGAGCAAGCATGGTACGAGCAAGCATGGTACGAGCAAGCATGGTACGAGCAAGCATGGTACGAGCAAGCATGGTACGAGCAAGCATGGTACGAGCAAGCATGGTACGAGCAAGCATGGTACGAGCAAGCATGGTACGAGCAAGCATGGTACGAGCAAGCATGGTACGAGCAAGCATGGTACGAGCAAGCATGGTACGAGCAAGCATGGTACGAGCAAGCATGGTACGAGCAAGCATGGTACGAGCAAGCATGGTACGAGCAAGCATGGTACGAGCAAGCATGGTACGAGCAAGCATGGTACGAGCAAGCATGGTACGAGCAAGCATGGTACGAGCAAGCATGGTACGAGCAAGCATGGTACGAGCAAGCATGGTACGAGCAAGCATGGTACGAGCAAGCATGGTACGAGCAAGCATGGTACGAGCAAGCATGGTACGAGCAAGCATGGTACGAGCAAGCATGGTACGAGCAAGCATGGTACGAGCAAGCATGGTACGAGCAAGCATGGTACGAGCAAGCATGGTACGAGCAAGCATGGTACGAGCAAGCATGGTACGAGCAAGCATGGTACGAGCAAGCATGGTACGAGCAAGCATGGTACGAGCAAGCATGGTACGAGCAAGCATGGTACGAGCAAGCATGGTACGAGCAAGCATGGTACGAGCAAGCATGGTACGAGCAAGCATGGTACGAGCAAGCATGGTACGAGCAAGCATGGTACGAGCAAGCATGGTACGAGCAAGCATGGTACGAGCAAGCATGGTACGAGCAAGCATGGTACGAGCAAGCATGGTACGAGCAAGCATGGTACGAGCAAGCATGGTACGAGCAAGCATGGTACGAGCAAGCATGGTACGAGCAAGCATGGTACGAGCAAGCATGGTACGAGCAAGCATGGTACGAGCAAGCATGGTACGAGCAAGCATGGTACGAGCAAGCATGGTACGAGCAAGCATGGTACGAGCAAGCATGGTACGAGCAAGCATGGTACGAGCAAGCATGGTACGAGCAAGCATGGTACGAGCAAGCATGGTACGAGCAAGCATGGTACGAGCAAGCATGGTACGAGCAAGCATGGTACGAGCAAGCATGGTACGAGCAAGCATGGTACGAGCAAGCATGGTACGAGCAAGCATGGTACGAGCAAGCATGGTACGAGCAAGCATGGTACGAGCAAGCATGGTACGAGCAAGCATGGTACGAGCAAGCATGGTACGAGCAAGCATGGTACGAGCAAGCATGGTACGAGCAAGCATGGTACGAGCAAGCATGGTACGAGCAAGCATGGTACGAGCAAGCATGGTACGAGCAAGCATGGTACGAGCAAGCATGGTACGAGCAAGCATGGTACGAGCAAGCATGGTACGAGCAAGCATGGTACGAGCAAGCATGGTACGAGCAAGCATGGTACGAGCAAGCATGGTACGAGCAAGCATGGTACGAGCAAGCATGGTACGAGCAAGCATGGTACGAGCAAGCATGGTACGAGCAAGCATGGTACGAGCAAGCATGGTACGAGCAAGCATGGTACGAGCAAGCATGGTACGAGCAAGCATGGTACGAGCAAGCATGGTACGAGCAAGCATGGTACGAGCAAGCATGGTACGAGCAAGCATGGTACGAGCAAGCATGGTACGAGCAAGCATGGTACGAGCAAGCATGGTACGAGCAAGCATGGTACGAGCAAGCATGGTACGAGCAAGCATGGTACGAGCAAGCATGGTACGAGCAAGCATGGTACGAGCAAGCATGGTACGAGCAAGCATGGTACGAGCAAGCATGGTACGAGCAAGCATGGTACGAGCAAGCATGGTACGAGCAAGCATGGTACGAGCAAGCATGGTACGAGCAAGCATGGTACGAGCAAGCATGGTACGAGCAAGCATGGTACGAGCAAGCATGGTACGAGCAAGCATGGTACGAGCAAGCATGGTACGAGCAAGCATGGTACGAGCAAGCATGGTACGAGCAAGCATGGTACGAGCAAGCATGGTACGAGCAAGCATGGTACGAGCAAGCATGGTACGAGCAAGCATGGTACGAGCAAGCATGGTACGAGCAAGCATGGTACGAGCAAGCATGGTACGAGCAAGCATGGTACGAGCAAGCATGGTACGAGCAAGCATGGTACGAGCAAGCATGGTACGAGCAAGCATGGTACGAGCAAGCATGGTACGAGCAAGCATGGTACGAGCAAGCATGGTACGAGCAAGCATGGTACGAGCAAGCATGGTACGAGCAAGCATGGTACGAGCAAGCATGGTACGAGCAAGCATGGTACGAGCAAGCATGGTACGAGCAAGCATGGTACGAGCAAGCATGGTACGAGCAAGCATGGTACGAGCAAGCATGGTACGAGCAAGCATGGTACGAGCAAGCATGGTACGAGCAAGCATGGTACGAGCAAGCATGGTACGAGCAAGCATGGTACGAGCAAGCATGGTACGAGCATTCGCACTCACAGCAGCCCTGTGTCAGCCCCGCACTGTCTGACACCACCCCCGCGTGGGCCATGGCAGCAGGTAGAGAGGCAGGCTCATCCGGTGCCAGCGGTACATTGCAAGGGGCAGGTGAGCTGTGAGAGCAGTGCGTGTCTCTCACGGGCCCTACTCTCCCACCGCGCCCTCCACTGTCTCTCTCAACTTCAGCCCTACCAACCTCTGCGCCCTTGCCTCTCTGCAGCACCATCACCACCACCACCTCCCTGTGGCATGCAGTGGGAGGGAGGGAACGTGAGAGTAGAAGCAATACTTTCAAACAGCTGTAGGATAGTTTGGGTGAGCGAGGGTGAGTTTGGGTGAGCGAGGGTGAGTTTGGGTAAGCGAGGGTGAGGGAAGGCATGGGGAGGCATGGGAAGGCATGGGAAGGCATGGGAAGGCATGGGAAGGCATGGGAAGGCATGGGAAGGCATGGGGAGGCCGAGGGGACAGAGGGGGCACAGCGGGCGCAGGGTGAGGGTGAGGGGCAGTCTATTAAGGTACCAAGAGACACAGCAAGCGGCCTGCATCGTCCACCCCTTGTTGGGCACAGGGTTGCGCATGGGGGACCAGGGGACAGAGAATCACAGAGAGAATGTGAAGTCCCAGGGGGAAGCAGAGGGGAAAACAAGGGGAGCGGAGGGGAGAATGAGGAGAAGCGGGGGAGGGAATGAGGAGAAGCGGAGGGGGAATGAGGAGAAGCGGAGGGGGGAATGAGGAGAAGCGGAGGGTGGAATGAGGAGAAGCGGAGGGGGGAATGAGGAGAAGCGGGGGAGGGAATGTGGAGAAGCGGAGGGGGGAATGAGGAGAAGCGGAGGGGGGGATGAGGAGAAACGGAGGGTGGAATGAGGAGAAGCAGAGGGGAAAACAAGGGGAGCGGAGGGGGGAATGAGGAGAAGCGGGGGAGGGAATGAGGAGAAGCGGAGGGGGGATTGAGGAGAAGCGGGGGTAGTAATGAGGAGAAGCGGGGGGGGGGGGAGGAGAAACGGAGGGTGGAATGAGGAGAAGCAGAGGGGAAAACAAGGGGAGCGGAGGGGGGAATGAGGAGAAGCGGAAGGGGAATGAGGAGAAGCGGAAAGGGGAATGAGGAGAAGAGGAGGGGGGAATGAGTAGAAGCGGAGGCGGGAAGGAGGGGAAGCAGGGGAGAAACCAGGGGGAGCTGAGGGGAAAACGAGAGGAAGCAGGGGAGTAAACGAGGGAAGAAGAGGGGGGAATGAGGGGAAGGAGACGGGGAATGAGGGGAAGCAGAGGGAATCGAGGGTAAGGTAACAAGAGGGAATGGAAAGGCAGGGAAGCGAGGGCAAGGGGATGGGCAAGTGGGAGAAGGGCAGCGGGAGTGGAGGCGCGAGGAGGGGCAGCGCGACGAGGGTGTTGGCGCGCTGATGGCAGGGGATGTGCGGCGAGGAGAGCGGAGGCGCGGCGAGGAGAGCGGAGGCGCGGCGAGGAGAGCGGAGGCGCGGCGAGGAGAGCGGAGGCAGGGAGGCGAACGTAGGTGCGACGAGGGGAGCGGAGGCGCGGTGAGGCAAGCAGAGGCGCGGCCAGGCGAGCGGAGGCGCGACGAGGGGAGGCTCCCAAAAACGAGGGTACCCTAAATCCGGGAGGCGTGACGATGGGACAGGGGGTGCGGCGAGGGGAGACGCAACGACGGGAGGCGAGGCACAACAACTTTGTGTATACGCGGGTGGAGTTCCTAAAATCTGCGTAGTTTATGCGGCGGTTTCTGACTGTCGGGAAGTTTTCTGACTACTACTAACAAGACTGGTGAGGTAACTCACTTGGTTGGTTTGGTTGGGTTGGTTTGTCGCACACTCATACCGATGAGTGACGACTTCCCAATCTCTTCGCAGCCTAATCTCGCTTTCGCCCCGCCCATATTCCCGAAATGTTTTTTTATGCTTTTCGCCAACACATTTAAAGCCCTACAGAAAATTCGCCAAAAACCATGTTGATTTTGGGCTTTAAACTGTAAACTTTTACAAATTAAACCGACCTCACGCGCCCTTAGATATACCCTTTCTTCAGCAAACTTGTGTGGTTCATTCCGTGTAGGACGAGCATTGGGGCATGGTTGTCATAGAGAGATCCAATGGCTACCGTGGCTCATCTGGCGTCGCTCGTTCCCTACAGCCATCGCACCATCACCGCTGCGCGAAACGCCATCGCGTGCCTTCTCGTCGTGCACACCGTCATCGCCGTTCTCTTCTTCAACCTCCTTCCTCTTCCGTTCGCCACGCCGTTACTACGCCCGACGATTGACTTGACAGCAGACGACCTCGTCTTTCTCCCTTCGCGATACGATATCGGTGAATCGAATTCCTCGGATTTCACGGAAGGGGGGAGCGTGCCGAGAGAGGTAGAGGAGGAAAGCGGCGGATCGGCATTCCCTGAGGCACAAGCAGTGGACGGATTCAAGGACCCGCAGCGCTTCTCTCTGGAAGAGCTCGCACGCCGCGAGGTGCTCACGACGGCGCGCAGCGACATGCTGCGACGCATCGACGACGAGCTGCGACATGACGACTCGGGAAAAACGTGCTCGCAGAAGGTCGCATTTCTCGCATGGGCTGACGGAAAATGTGCGACTCTAGTAAGAGGGAGTACCTCCATTGCTCGCGAAACAGACCCGCTGATGGCTAATGAGACTCGTTCAGTCGCCGTAGCGCCGGTGGATCTGCCTGCGAAGCGTGAGTTTCTCCTAGAGGTTCGGGCCGCTATCGCCGCCATTACCAATCTGAACCAATCCGAGCTCGACGCGCTTCAGATGAAGCTTCTGGACTTCGAAAAGCAGCAGAAAGAACGAGAATCAAATTCATTCTATGATGCATGGCGGCTCGCGAATCCCCAGGTGACATGGCCACCACAGAATTCCCTATCCTCTGGCCTCGCCGAAAGGAATAAGCTGCCTCCTCGCATTCCGCAGAAAACAAGCTGGGATGTGCGCAGACACTTGCGACGGAGCGACGATTCAGCAGCCAATGAGCGAAGAGCAGAGGACGCTCAAGCGTGGAGCAAGGCGCGGCTTGGGGACGATCAGATCGTGATGGTGCTGCTCGTGCACAACCGGCCCGCGTACCTCAGACGGACGCTCGCAGCCATGCGACGCGTGGAAGGCATTCAAGACGTGCTGCTCATTGTAAGGTGAGTGCGGGTGGTCATTGTAAGGTGAGTGCGGGTGCTCATTGTAAGGTGAGTGCGGGTGCTCATTGTAAGGTGAGTGCGGGTGCTCATTGTAAGGTGAGTGCGGGTGCTCATTGTAAGGTGAGTGCGGGTGCTCATTGTAAGGTGAGTGCGGGTGCTCATTGTAAGGTGAGTGCGGGTGCTCATTGTAAGGTGAGAGCGGGTGGTCATTGTAAGGTGAGTGCGGGTGGTCATTGTAAGGTGAGTGCAGGTGCTCAATGTAAGGTGAGTGTTGGTGCTCATTGTAAGGTGAGTGCAGGTGGTCATTGTGAGGTGAGTGCTGGTGCTCATTGTAAGGCGAGTGCGGGTGCTCATTGTAAGGTGAGTGCAGGTGGTCATTGCAAGGTGAGTGCGGGTGCTCATTGTAAGGTGTGTGCGAGTCGTTTCTTCGAAAGAATCTTTTTAATTCCTGAGCATGCTGCGTCTCTCTTTGTCACAAGGATGTCTCGCTGCTTGTTGTGCCATTCCATTACAGCCTCATCTCACATGCCTTATCTTCCTCCCCACATGTTTTTAATTCTTTCCTCTCTCTGCTATGCAGCCACGATGGGTACTACCCCAAGATGGACGCCATGGTGAGGGCGGTTGACTTCTGCCCCGTCAAGCAGATCTACTTCCCCTTCTCCCCTCACCTCTTCAACGGCACCTTCCCTGCAGCTTCCCCTGACGACTGCCAAGGCCGGCTCCCTAAGAGTGAGGCCGAATGGGAGGGAGAAGAAGGGGAAGAAGGAGATGGTGGAGAAAATGGTGGAAGAGGAGGAGAGGGACCAGAGGAAGAGAAGGATTGGGTTGGCAATTGTAGCGGACAGGTGGATCGGTTTGGAAGGTTCAGGAACCCACGCACAATATCTCTCAAGGTGAGACTGTTCACCACTATTTCTCTTTCAACACAGGAGTTGAAGTACGTGCTTCTTTACCAGGCGCTCTCTCCCTCGTTTGCCCTCCCCTCCTCCCCCTCCCGCCCTCTGGCAGCACCACTGGTGGTGGGCGATGAACACGGTGTGGGGGGGATTGGCGGAGACACGGGGGTTCAAAGGGCACGTGGTGTGGGTGGAGGAGGACCATCAGCTCTTCCCCAACGCCCTGCGCCACCTGCGCGCACTCCTCCACGCCAAGCACGCACGCTGCCCCGACTGCATCGCCGCCAACCTTGCGCCCTCCGACGTGCATGAGTGGCAGGACAGTGGGCCGCGGACTTTCTCTGTGGAGACCATGGGGAACATCGGGTACTGCTTCAACCGCACTGTGTGGGATTTGATTCACAAACAAGCAGAGGTATGCGACCCCTTTTCTTGTAGTCTCGTGTATCACAATCCTTCACGATTCGTCTTAGTTGCTGGTGGTAATAAAAACTCAGCACCTCTCTGTGTGTACGCAGGCGTTCTGCTACTTCGATGATTACAATTGGGATGTTACAATGTCGGGATCTGTGTTAAAGCGGTTGCCAAATGCCTCTTCTATTCGCTGGTCAAGAACAAGTGCAAGACACTTCGGCAATTGTGGATTTCACTCAGGAAGGGGACGGAAGACCAGCAACTGCGTAAAGAACATTTGGTGGAATCATAATGACGATGGTGAGGAGGTTGTGATCACAACTGAAGATACAAGGATGTCCATAAACATTTCAGCTCCGTTGATTCCTAGGAGTTTCAAAATCACGCCTAGCTCTTTTAGAGGTTGGGGTGGATGGGGCGATGGGCGTGACATTAAGTTATGCATTTACATATCTAAGATGTACAGTTCTTGAAAGGTCCCCATCAGGCATTTCTTCCAAAACACTTGGAAAATGGATTTATTTTGCGTGTCATGGATCATCAGAAAATGCTCATATCGATTCAACCGGAAGGCCTATCATCACGCCTCTGTTCGCGCGTTTCGCAGCCGCTGATTGCAATGGGCGCGGGAATGCATGCGTCTCGAAATTAGTCGCGATCGAATTCCTCTACGCCGTCGGATTGAGGAAACACGAGTCGCTCCATCCCGTCACATCGCATTCAACGGCGAACTGCGCGTTTCACAGAAGACGAGCAGAGCAGGCACAAATTTCAGCAGGGCAGGGTTGTTGTCTGGCGGCCAGGCACTCAAGCGGCCTGCCTGTCCCCCCAAGCCCGTGCAATGTGGCCACTATCACTCTCCACTCCTCTCCATTCCTCTCCATTCCGCGATCTGTTCCACATTTTATCGAACAGTCACCCCCCCCCCCAGTCGATGTTCCTGCTGCTTGGCTGCTCGCTGCCGTCACACCACTGACGTTGGAGCCTGGCCACCGAACAAGCATCACGTCAACGCAAGCAAATGCGAGCCATTTTTCTATATTCTACGAGAAGCCTATTGTAGAAGACTTGGACTTGCTAGAAAGTTCAGTAGACAGCTCGTGCGCTGGCAGCAGCGCATCCTCTCGCTACTCATGTCGTTCCTTGCTCGCCTTATTCCCAGTCAACTCGGCTCGCTTCGTACCGCAGTTCTCGCTAGGCCTTTAATCGCCGTCCATCCTTCCGTAAACGCGCACAGCCTAGGCGGGCTAATCTCTCCGCGACACTATCGGCGCTATGTTTCCACCGCGTGCACCTCGTCCTGCCTCCTCCTGCTGCTCCTCGCGCAAGCGCTCCTCGCGCTCGCGCTCTTCAATGCCGCGTCGCCTTCAGGGGGATTTTCGCCCGTATCTCTCCTCCCAGCTCGCCTCCTCCCGCAAGCTTGGGGCCCCCCTGCGACGAAAGATCTGGTTGTTGCGAAGGACTCTGACTCACCCGAGGAACCAAGCGACATGAGTGTCGAGAGTGGCGATACGAGCAGCGTAGGCGAGACTGTAGATGAGTGGATGAGGCGGGGTGATTTATTGCGAATAATCGACGAGAAGTTAGCGAAGCTGCGAACTCGCTGGTGGCTCGCGCGTGTGCCGCGGCTAATATGGCCCTTGTTTCGCTATTCCGCCCCAAAACTAGGAATAGAGCTGGCAGAATCTGATGACGTGGCGATAGCAGATGGCACGTGGCTCGTTTCTAGTAGACGCGAACCTCTCGAAATCCTTAACCAGGAGCTGTTGCGAAGTGGATTCGCGGCACTGAACGCCGCATATCGTGGAGGATCAACGATCCGCGCCGCGACGGAAGACCGGACTTACGCTGACCTAGAAATGGAGGAAAAACTGAAGTTTATGCGAGATGAGGTTGAGAAAATGGATTTGAAGGCGGAGGAGAGTTACGATCGCGCAGGTGCTAGACTGCTCGACCTGTTCAACGGCAGGAAGGAACGCGAAGCCCAATCGTTCTTCGACACGTGGCGTCGCATGAACCCGTACGAGCCGTGGCCGCCGTCCTCGCCGCTCTCTCGGCGGCTCGAGGAGTGGAATCGCCGGCCGGTGAGAGCGCCTGTGACGGCGGGAAACGCGGAGAAGACCGGCGGTGGGATGGGTCTGCTCGCAAAGCTACGCGCGCAAGTGCGGCGACGAGCGGGGGGGAAACGGTCTAGCAGTAGCGCTGCTATAACTAGCAGCAGTAGTGATAGCATTTCTAACCTTACCAGGTCGCGGGGCCCGTGGAAGAAGCGGTTGAGCGAGTCGGATGTGGTGATGGTGCTGCTGGTGCACAACCGGCCGGCGTACCTGCGACGCACGCTGGAGGCGCTGAGCAAAGTGGAAGGCATCCAAGACACCCTGCTCATCGTCAGGTGCGCCCCTCGGTCATCCGTTCGGCCGCTACTCCCCGTACCGCCTACAGTGCTCAGACTTGCGCATGTCGTTCGTCCATGGACACTCGCCCCTCCCCTTCCCTTCAAGTCCCCCCCTTTCCCTTTTCTCCTCGTGTCGCCTCTCCTCCTTTCCCCCTCGCTACCTCTCCCTTTCCCTTCATTAACCCCCTTCTGATATTTTCCCCCTTTTTCTTCCCCTTTCCCCGCGCAGCCACGACGGGTACTACCCCGAGATGCACGCGCTGGTGCGCGGAATCACGTTCTGCGCCGTCAAGCAGCTCTACTTCCCGCTCTCCCCGCACCTCTTCAACGGCGCCTTCCCCGCCGCCTCCCCCGCCGACTGCCAGGGGAGCGCGCACGACGCCACGGGAGGAGGAGAATGCACGGGGCAGGCGGACCAATACGGGTCATTCAGGGATCCGCGGAGGCTGTCTCTCAAGGTGAGAGGGGTTCTGATTGGCTGCTGCTGGTGTTCTCCATGCCTCCACTCCCTCGCAGATTTCCCATATTTAATTACTCCTACTGGCGCCCTCCGTTCCGCATCCCTACTTGGTTGTGCCTGCTTCGTTACAAGCTCTCTCCCTCGCTGTCCGCGTGTGCCGCAACCCCACCCTCCCCTCCTTCCCCTGGCAGCACCACTGGTGGTGGGCGATGAACACGGTGTGGGGGGGATTGGCGGAGACGCAGGGGTATGGAGGGCACGTGGTGTGGGTGGAGGAGGACCATCTGCTCTTCCCCAACGCCCTGCGCCACCTGCGCGCGCTCCTCCACGCCAAGCACGCGCGCTGCCCCCACTGCATCGCCGCCAACCTCGCGCCCTCCGACGTGGGCTCGATACAGGACGACGAGCGGGGGGTGTTTTCAGCAGAGCGCATGGGCAATGTGGGGTACGCGTTTAACCGCAGCGTGTGGGAGCTCATTCATGCGCAGGCCAAGGTGAGACCGAGCATCTATCGTAAGTCCAAGCGGTTTGTTTGTGCTCAGTCACAGTAATCTCTTTGTTTTTTAGTTCTGCTTTGAATGACCCCTGATTCTTCTCTGCCAGTCACCTTATCCCTGCCAACCACCCACCAAATTTCTGCCACTCACCAACCATATCCCTGGCAACCGTCCGACCCCTCGCTCCCCCAGCCGTTCTGTCTGTACGAAGACTACAACTGGGACCTCACCCTCTGGTCCTCCGTGCTGCGCCGCCTGCCCTCCTCCTGGTCTCTGCGCTGGTCCCGTGCCAGCGCCCACCACGTGGGGTCGTGTGGACTGCACTCAGGGCAAGGGGACTCGCAGGGCAAGAGTAACACTAGTTCAGCTGCTGCTGTGAAGGGGAGTGGTGTGGAAGGGAGGGAGAAGGATGCGGAGGAGGGGAAGGAGAAGAAGAGTGTGGGGTGTAGTATAGGAGAGGATGGGATAGAGAAGGTGCAGCTGATTGATGAGGACTATTGGATGATGGTGAATGCCTCGGCTCCTGTCGTGGAACGAGAGGAGGAGAAGAGGTGGACGATGTTTCCGGGATGGGGTGGGTGGGGGGATGGAAGGGACATCCAGCTGTGCATGCACATAGCAAACATGTATAGAGAAAGAGCCACCAGTTAGCAACGAGACCACACTCATGATGGTAAGCCAAATGACTGTAGACCTAGGGCGTCTAATTGTTATCAGTTGGACAGGGAAAGGCAAAGGAGAGGTCTACCATAATTGTTTTCACTTCGACTAATTTGGTCTTCTTCCGTGCTGGAAGTGGTGTGTGTGCACTTTCTAGTGTATTTATGAGTGTAATGAAGTGTACTTTACGCCCTTCTGTTGCTTGCTTGAGCTGCCGAAATCTTCGAGGCTTTGATGTTGAAGTGCAGAAAGCCCTGGAGACTCCCAAGGCTCCAAACTGCCAATGCTGCACCCGCTCGAATTCCCAGTTCCCCCGAATGACATATCAATAGCTTGAAATGCATTCAAGCTATGGTACCTTGCACTTCACTGTTGTCGAACACACCATTCTTCGCCACGCTTCTGCTATCGCTACTCGTCGCCAGCGCGACATTAGGTAAAATCACCGTTACTGATGGCGCCGATAGACTCACGATTCGTGACGGTGGAACCCCGGATTTACGAAGCGCAGTTGTCACGCCGTCGCCAGGAGCGGCGCGTCGTGCGGTAGTAGAGGAGGAAGCGGCGCGAGAAATGTCACTGCGGCTTTTTATCATCGAAGAGGCGAAGAATCATGGCGCGGGTGAGGAGAGCGAAAAGTAAGGTGAGAGATAGTGGCGTGTGAGGCAGTGAGATGCGCTTTAGCGACAGTCATTAGACGGCGTCAGCTGCGGAAGGGGCTTGGAGAGGAAAAATTAGTGTAACAGTGACTAGTTCGCACCGCCATCATAAGCGATTGTGCTTCGTCCCTCTTCCCGGTCCAGCATTCAGATCAGAACGCTAGTAGCATCCAGAACCCTCTAGCATTCACAACGAAGGTTCATTTCGGAGTACGTGTGCCTTCGTTCTCTGTCGCGTAGTGAGTAAACCAGATCCCATGTCCAATGCCACGCGTGCCGATGGTATACTTGCTCCGTTTCGTCTCATCCCTTCCCCGGCCACGTGGCACTGGCAGTGTGTCTGGACGGGTCCGCGCCCGGCTTTTACTACCGGCGGGGCCATGGCAGCGGCGCTAACAAATGGCTGCTCAACTTCCGAGTGAGATGTATAGAGTGCTGATATGTTGACATGCGAACGTGTGGACATGCGGACGTGTGGACATGCGGACGTGTGGACATGCGAATGCGTGAAGGTGCAATGCAGACATGTGTATCACATCCACTCATCTCTCCCTTTCTCATTCATTCCCTGCTGCCTACCCAATTTAATTTGCCAGCCCCCTTTCCTTCCTGGTCCCCCACGGCCGCTCGCCCCTCCCTCCGCTGTCTCCCCCGGTTCAGTCGGGCGCATGGTGCACGTCCCCGTGGGACTGCTACAACCGCAGTTCGTCGCTGTGGGGCAGCTCCAACCACTTCCGTTCCTAAAAGCCCTCATCAAATTCCAGCCTGAAACACCTCCCCCTCGCTCTCTTCCCCCCCGTCCTCCCTGTGTTCTCCCCTATACAGTCAGGAGCATGGTGCACGTCCCCGTGGGACTGCTACAACCGCAGCTCGTCGCTGTGGGGCAGCTCCAACCACTTCCCCGACGTGCTGCCCACCCCCGGCATTCTCAGCGCCCAGAGAGACGTCAACCCGGGTGGGCTCACTGGAAAACCACACTGTGTGGTGTGAATCCGGGTGGGCTGGCAGTAGGGCAGTACCTAACATGTAAATAGAGGCAGCTCCAAGCACTTCCCTGACGTGCTGCCCACACCCGGCATTCTCAGCGCCCAGCGCAACGTCAACCCGGGTAGGCTGACTGTAGGGCCATGCCCTTGTCGCACGCCCACTCCTCCCTGTGGGGCAGCTCCAAGCACTTCCCCGACGTGCTGCCCACTCCCGGCATTCTCAGCGCCCAGCGCAACGTCAATCCTGGTACGCTGACTGCAGTGCCGTTCACGCAGCTAGGCCATGGCGATCCGATCTGTAGTCGCTTGCTCCTGCCCTTGCGCTTCAAGGCACGCTCAGCTCCTCCCTGCGGGGCAAATCCCACCGCCTTGCAGAAAATCTCCTTGCCGACAGCAAGCATGCTGAGTAGAAGATAGGCATTCTTGCTGTGGCGTGTCAGCCACTGTTACTGCAGTTAACACCGCCAAGGCTGGTACATGAGCAAGCCCTGTGACTTGTCCACCACGCCCCATGCCACGCCGCATGCCACGCCCCATGCCATGGAATGTTTGTGCAGATCTGTGTGACTGGAACCTGGTCATCTTCCCGTACTGCGATGGGGCGTCTTTTTCTGGCGACAGACAGGACCCGCTGGTCTTTGAGGTGAGACACACATGATTGTTTGCCTTTTCAGAATATGCGAGGAGCAATTCTGTGCCTTGAGTCTGACTGCCTGCCCTGCAGTGCGTGACACTATCCCATAAGTTCATGTTCGTGCGATAACTCATGCAGGTGGTTCTCATGGGCTCATCCCAGGGGCTCAGGCCATGCATCCATGCACATCCTCTCCATCCCACCCAGCATTGTTCCATCCCTCACCCGCTCACACACCCCGCCTCCTCTCCCCCCTTCCCAGGGAGTGCCGCTCTTCTCTCGCGGGCGGCGCATCCTCGACTTTCTGCTCGCACACCTCACAGCCAGATTCCACATGGCCACGGCACAGCGGGTGAGGGGTGAGGGCAGAGCGGGTGAGCGCAGGGCAGGGCAGACTCGGTTTGCCGAGGGTAGTGCAGAGCGGCTTTTGAGTCGACTCAAAACAGGGCAGTGCGGAGCGGCTTTTGAGTCGACTCAAAACAGGGCAGTGCAGAGCGGCTTTTGAGTCGACTCAAAAGCGGTTTGCAGAGGGCAGTGCAGAGCGGGTGTGCAGTGGAGTGCTGTGGAAGCTGAGGGCAGCAAGAACTGGCATCGTTGTAACAAGCCCCAGTCACTCCCAATACCTATGCTTCCACTGCTCCCACATCATAGCTCACACTCCCTCGCTGCACTTCATCCTGCCGTGAGCCAGTCCCAACCACCTGTGCCTCCCTGCCGTCCAAGTCTGTCCGTCGTTGGGTTCTTTCGTTACCTCCCATCCTCCTGGCCAGGTGCTTATATCGGGGTGTTCAGCGGGCGCCCTGGTGGTGTACCTACACTGCGACTACATCCGCCATGCCCACATGCCCCTCTCCTCCTAAATCCTGTCCCTTGTGGGCTCATTCACTTCCAATTATATTGACTACACCAGGTGCTTATATCGGGGTGTTCAGCGGGCGCCCTGGTGGTGTATCTGCACTGTGACTACATCCGCCATGCACACATGCCCCCCTCCGCATCCGTGCAGTGCCTTGCAGACTCGGGCCTCTTTCTTGACATGTGAGCCGATTCCTCCCCATGCGCACACATATGCATTCCCTCGCCCATACCGCACTCTGGCTCATACACCTTCAGCCTTCTCAAACTGCTGGGCCTCTGTTGCCTTGTCCATCATCTGCCGTGTAACATGCCGTGCATCATCCTTTCTCTCACCCCCAACCCACTGCCGCTCCCCCTTGTGCCGCAGTCCAGACATCAGTGGTGGCAGGGCTGCTCAGACCCTCTTCCGCTCCGTTCTCGCCATCCATGTGCGTGTGGCCTTCGCCCCTCTCTCATTCACGTGATATTAGTAGTGTTCTGAGACGTCTCAAAACACGACTTCTATTCCGTACTCACCATCATGTGCGTGTGGTCCTTGCCCCTCTTGGATTCCTTGGCATAGTGCGCTCTTGTCATCACATGTACCATAATCACACAATCACATCACAGTGTATGTCTGTCAGTCATCTTGGGTATTCACAAGCCATCATAGCGTCACCACGCCTGGCTGTGTTTCTGTGCTGCATACGTGGCAGAATGTGACTGGCAGTCTTCCCGCCTCCTGCGTCTCCTCTCGTCCACCTGAAGACCACTATCAGGTGCGCTCTGCTGCTCACGCCTGTGCTGCTCACGCCTGTGCTGCTCACGCCTGTGCTGCTCACGCCTGTGCTGCTGACAACTGAACAGCTGTACTGCTACATTGCGGCGGTGACACAGTGTGTATGAGGATAGGTCTCTCCCTGCTGTCACACATGCCATGCAATGTAGACTTATTGCACCAACCATGCACATGTGCTACCCTGTGCCCGTGCCACGTGGCAGTGTTTCATGACAGCACAGCTGCTGCCCCTCCTGAGAACACCCACGTTCATCATCAACAGCAACTACGACCTCTGGTTGGTACGCTGCCCCCCCCCAACCTGCAATGCCCGGTCTTTTTAGCTGTGCCCTGTGCATCATCTCTCAGCGCGTTTTTTAGGTGCCTCAAAGCCACAAATGCATTGACCGCCCTGTGGATCATCGTGCTGCGCACTGATTGTAGCTCAGCGCGGCAAGGAGGTCCACTTCTGCCTACCTTCCCCTCCTCAGCCCTTCTTCACGCTTTCACTCCTCCCCACCGTTGCTCCTACCCATTCCCTCCCTGCCCCATGAACCACACCCCTCCTGTCCCCCACTCCTGTGCCGCTGTCAGCTGCGGCTCGCGCTCGCCCCACCAGAGGTGGACTCTTCCCTGCTTCCCTTCTTCCCCACGCCCATGAATTTCTCATGATTGGCCCCTCCATTCCTGACACTGTCCTGTCAGCTGCGCCACGCGCTCGCCTCACCAGAGGCGGACCCTTCTCTGCTTCCCTTTTTCCCCACGCCCATGAATTACTCATGATTGGCCCCTCCATTCCCGACACTGTCCTGTCAGCTGCGCCACGCGCTCGCCTCACCAGAGGCGGACCCTTCTCTGCTTCCATTTTTCCCTACGCCCATGAATTACTCATGATTGGCCCCTCCATTCCCGACACTGTCCTGTCAGCTGCGCCACGCGCTCGCCCCACCAGAGGCGGACCCGTCAGGCGAGCTCATCGCCAGCTGCTTGAGGAAGCTGCACACGTGCAACCAATCACAGCTCGCCACCTTGCAAGGTGACACTGTAGCCACCAGAGTGACTCGTGCAACCATCCCAAACTGTCCTGTCTCTGTTTATTATTTGCCTTCTCCTTTCTTCTCCTCAACCCATCTGTTTGCCGCCACATACGCCTCACTTTACCATTTGCCATGCCCTCTCTCCTTTCACCCCTCTTCCCTCGCCCCCTCCTCCCAGGCGTGCGGGATACAGTCACAGCAACTGTGGCACCGCTCCTGTCACCCACGGCAGCCGGAGGGGGAGGGGAGCGGTTGGGTGTGCAGCAGCAGCAGCACGGGGTGTTTCTGTTCTCGTGCCTGACCCATTGCACGAGCCACTACGAGGACCACTGGCTGCGACTCACCGTGAACAACCAGGTCCCCACACCCCAACCTCGCCCCCTCTCTCTCCTGCCCCATTCCAATATACCTGCGTCCGTTCCCTCCTCTCACTCTTCCACCTCTCACCCTCCCCTCACCCACCACTCACCCATCTGTCACCAACCCCTCACCCGCCCCTCACTTGCATTTCTTTTTATGTGGCCCCCCACGCCTCCTATGCAGACTCTGATGCATGCTGTGGGCCAATGGCTGCGAGCCGTTGACTCTGCCACAGATGCACAGAGCACCAGCAGCACACAGGGTGGCACGGAGGGGTTTGAGGCAGCGCTGATAGACTGCCCGTACCCGTGCAACTCGTGCAACGTGCAGGCACCGCCTCACATGCCGCCCGCAGCTCAAAAGCAGGTGGAAGCAGGTCAAGGACGGGAGGGGTTCGGGCAAGGGCAGGGGGCGGTAGCACAAAGGCAGGCATCTCAGGGGCAGGCATCTCAGGGGCAGGTCAACGCAGGTGCAGCTCAGGGGCAGGTCAAGACAGAGGCCCCACGAGCACAGGTGGGAGCAGAGGCAGGGCAAGTGCAAGTCAAGACAGAGGTGGTGCAGCAGGGTGGGGGTGTGCAAATAGGGACAGGTCAGGCTGGCCTGGTGCAACCAGAGGCAGGTGGAGTTCAAACTACTGTGTGACATGCTTGGTGCTTGTTTCGATATCTGAATAATGTGAAACTGGTGCTTGCAGGCAGAATCAAGCCTCCGTGCTTCCAGTATTATCTTCTGCATTGTCAGTCAAGCTGCCTTCCATAAGTTAATAAATACGGGCCCTGCTCTTATGAAGAGAGGGGCCATCCACATCTGGCATAGACATACAGGCTCCATGTTTCCCAAGGGTGCTGCACACACAGTCATGCGTACTTCACACACAACCTTGGTCCTGCCACCCCTGCATCACTCATCTCCCTCCTGCTCTTCCCACCCATCCGTTCTGCATCACTCCTCCCCTACTGCCCACCCCACCCTACCCCCTCTACTCTGCATCACTCCTCTCCACCCTGCTCCACCACTCTCTGATACGTGGTGCCATTGATGTTCACCTCACTGCCCCCCGACCCTGGATACTCAAAGAAGAACGCATCCTCCACACGCCCCCCTTCATACCGCAGCTCAATGCCATTCCCCCTTATCTCATACTCCCCCCTCCCCTCCCTCTCCTCATCATCCACCTCCTCTTCCCTCCGCTCCAACCCTCCCACTCTTCCCATCCCCATCCCTGCTCCTCCCCCCAAACCCATCCCTCCCCCTTTACACGGCAATATCCCTGTCGCTCCCTGCACGCTGAACGTCCCATCTCCCCGGAAAGTCACAGTCGTCCCACCATGCACCCCCGAAGCCTCTGCTGCATCGACAAAATCCCTAGCCGCCGCGTGAACAAACCTCCCCTCCAGCCGACACCCCTCCTCTGCCTCGCACGGCTGGACCCTCTTGAACACCACGTCTCCGCCGCCCACCCGCACCTCCTGCTGACCTGGCGCGAGTGCCACCTGGCACCCGCCGTACTCAAACTCGTGCGCCGCGCCGTGGGAGTGCGAGAGCGGTACATAGCGGTGCGGGTTGGTGCGGCGGTCGTGGTGGAAGTCGAAGTGGCGCGGGTCCCCGTGGGGCAGGCCCAGGTAAAGCTCGCCTGTAGAGAGCAGCGCCCAATACTCCGTCCACTCCTTGAATGAATAGCTGCAATGGGCAGTGGGGGGGGGCCAGTGCAGGGAGGGAACAGTGCAGTGGCAAGGTTATGCGCTGCCTTGAATGGCAGGCCGGGATAGAGATCGCCTGTAGAGAGCAGCGCCCAATACTCCGTCCATTCCTTAAACGAGTAGCTGGTGGGGGGCAAGTGGGAGGGGAGAACAGCGCAGTGGCAAGGTTATGCGCTACCACAAAACGGCACGCCAAGTTGAAGCTTGCCTGTGGAGAGCAGCGCCCAGTACTCTGTTCCTTGAATGAATAGCTGCAACGAGCAGCAGGGGGGGGGAGGGCAGTGCGGGGAGGGAACAGTGCAGTGGCAAGGTTATGCGCTGCCTTGAATGGCAGGCCGGGATAGAGATCGCCTGTAGAGAGCAGCGCCCAGTACTCCGTCCATTCCTTAAACGAGTAGCTGGTGGGGGGCAAGTGGGAGGGGAGAACAGCGCAGTGGCAAGGTTATGCGCTACCACAAAACGGCACGCCAAGTTGAAGCTTGCCTGTGGAGAGCAGCGCCCAGTACTCTGTTCCTTGAATGAATAGCTGCAACGAGCAGCAGGGGGGGGAGGGCAGTGCGGGGAGGGAACAGTGCAGTGGCAAGGTTATGCGCTGCCTTGAATGGCAGGCCGGGATAGAGATCGCCTGTAGAGAGCAGCGCCCAGTACTCCGTCCATTCCTTAAACGAGTAGCTGGTGGGGGGCAAGTGGGAGGGGAGAACAGCGCAGTGGCAAGGTTATGCGCTACCACAAAACGGCACGCCAAGTTGAAGCTTGCCTGTGGAGAGCAGCGCCCAGTACTCTGTTCCTTGAATGAATAGCTGCAACGAGCAGCAGGGGGGGGAGGGCAGTGCGGGGAGGGAACAGTGCAGTGGCAAGGTTATGCGCTGCCACGAATGGCAGGCCCAGATAGAGCTCGCCTGTGGAGAGCAGCGCCCAGTACTCCGTCCATTCCTTGAATGAATAGCTGGTGGAGGGGGGGGGGGGGCAGGGGGGGGAGATTGAGCGGGGCATTGGGCAATGGGGGGACGCTGTCGGCCCAATGGTGGTGAGGGAAGTGCGGGGTGGTGGTATGGGAGAGGGGAGGAGTGCGGGGCAGTGGGGGGGCGGACTGGGCGCCCAGGGCGGAGGGCGAAGAAGTAGCATTGGGAGGGCAGAATGGGGGCTTTTCGAGGGCAAAATGGTGCCCTTGAGGGAACAGAATGGTGCGTTGGGGGTGCATTGGGCGTGTAGTGCCTGCTGCTCGCCTTCTGTTAGAGTTCTTAAACTCTTCGGGGACATGGGGGAGGGAAAAGTGCGAGACATACCCGAAGGTGAGCACGTTTGGCGTGTAGTGTCTGCTGCGCGCCACATACAGCTCCTCCACCTCCACTGTCTCGCGCGCCCCCTCCCCTTCCCCTTCCGCCTCCGCCTCCGCCTCCCTCCGCCTCTCCTCCTCCGCCGCGCGCATCATCATCATCTCCCGCTCGCGGCGCCACCGCTCCATGCGCTGCTTCACCGTCTCGCGCCCCCACTTCCGCCCGCTCCCCCCCCGCGCCTTGCTGCTCTGCGCTTGCCCCGCCTGCGCAACTGCGCCGGTAGGCGCACCCGCGCTGTTTCTCCGTGTTTCCGCGCCGTCCTCGTCCCCCCGCGAGTCATTTCCCTCCGCTCCTCCACCTTGCGCCCCGCCTGAACGCGCGCCGCCCGTCGCGCGCAACCCCACATCCTTGAGTCCTGGCGGGCGTTCCGCACCTTTTGCGGAAGCCGCCGGATCAGCGCGCGCTTGGCGCGCAATGATCGGCAGCGGGAATTGCGGGAGGCGGCGCTGAAGGCCGTCCACGTGGCGGGAAAGATTCTCCCGCAACTGGCGCGCCACATTACCGCTCTCCCACTCCGCCCGCACGCCTCTAACGAACGAAACTATATCAAAATCCGAACCGGACCGCGCGGTTCCTTCCATTGCTAGGCAGCGTCGTATGGCCGTACACTGGGTGGAGCGCGTTAGGGAGATGCGTGCAACGGAACGGACTAGTAGTTGTCCTTTCTTCACTCGCGTATCCTAGTCTCCAAGAATGCAGTAGCTCAATTTCCGTCTATTCTGCATTGTGCTGGTGAAATGTGCTGGTCCTCCCGCTGGGCTGGGCTGGGCTGGGCTGGGCTGGGCTGGGCTGGGCGATGTGCTGCTGACGTGCGAAACACCGTGAGCTGACGTGGAATGGGGCATCTGATGACGAACTGTGGAGTGTATGCTGACGTGCAACTCGATCTGCAAGTGAGCATCTGAGTGTGCTACTGGCCTCCCTCCCACCTACCATTCGCCCCGTACGCGATTTTGGCACATGGTTGAGGGAACATTTCTGGGTCAATAATTTCGCTGCAAACCAAGATGACTTCATGTCTCAATAAAAAGCAAATGTTGCATTTTCTCACAAAAACAAATACACAAGTAGCCATCGTTGCAGAAGATCAGCATCGCTCAATAGCGAATCATCTATTCTGCTCTCCCTCCTGTTGCCCCCATTTGAACCGCGCGTGCGCAGAGCAACTACCCTCCGCCGCCATTTGAACCGCGCGTCCCGCCAGCAGTGCGCATAGTGCTGCGCGCGAGCATGCATGGGGGGAGATTCTTGCGCCTCCTACCCCGGCTGCCCCATGCGGAATTTCCAAGGGGAATGCTGCCGCGGGAGGGGGGAGGCCCCGCCGCTGCTGCGCGCATGGGGCGCGATTCTCCGCCGCGTTTGCGGCTTCTCACATGGAAGGAGGCCGTCTCGGCGGAGGCGTTTGGCAGGTGTTGGCGGAGCGGAGATTGGGGGGGCTGGCGCGCGGAAGCGGCGCATGCGCTTCGGGAACCGCGGATTGTAATCGCTGGGGGAGGGTTGCCACTGTGCGGAGAGAGGGGCACTTTGCGCGGGGAGAGGGGGAGAGCGGGTGAGGGAAGGCGCGAACTGCAGATACCGCGGTGGCTGGGGTGGGGCGAGCGGGAGAAGGAGGGCGGCGCGCGCAGCGCCGGTGCGCCCGAGGTGAGGAGGGAGAGGGCGACGATGGAGCTGCACGGGGAGCGCTGGGTCGACTGGTACAGGTGCGCGCGCTCTGCATTGGGCGCGGTTCTTTAGCATTCAACGCATTGAAAATTGAACGCATTGTCACTAGGTACTGACGTGACCCATGGTTCCCCTGTCCCCCCCCCCCATCTCCCAACACGCTCCCCCTCCGCCCCCCTATGCTCCCCCTCCGCCCCCCTATGCTCCCCCTCCGCCCCCCTATGCTCCCCCTCCGCCCCCCTATGCTCCCCCTCCGCCCCCCTATGCTCCCCCTGTGTCAGATGGATGCACGACCTGGACTCCCCCCGCATGCGCCGCCACCTGCAGCGCGAGCGCACCTACCTGCGCGCCCTCATGCGGAGCAGAGCGCGTGGGGGGCGGTCGATGCAGGAGTGGCAACGTGAGGTGGTGGCGGAAATGGAAGCAACCATGCCGCCGCCCTCCCATGCGCCCCCTGAGGCATGTGGCCCCTGGTGGGTGTGTTGGTATTTCAGTGCAGGCGTGTGCTTGCGAGGCATGCAGCTCATTTCGTTATCATTCTTCCTCTCGCCCTATCAGTGTCCCTCATCTGCACCCTTCTCCCCACTTAACCCCCCCTACCCTCGCACCCGCAACTCCCACTTCCCACCCCCTTCCCTCTCCCACCCCCCATCCCACGCGTGCCGGAGGGCAAGGAGCTGCCGGTTCTGTTCCACATGCCTGCTGCCATGCGAGGTGACTTTTGAGTCGACTCAAAAGCCAGAAGCCGCTGCCCTTTCCCCCCCTCACCAGGCTGTACGGAGCACGGGTGCCGGAGGGCAAGGAGCTGCCGGTGCTGTTCCGCTCGCCTGCTGCATTGCACACGGGGGAGGGGGCGCACACAGCAGAGAGAGATGGGAGAGGGGGGCAGGGAGGGAGCGGGAAGGAAAGGGTGGAGCGGGTGGGGGAGCAAATGGGGCAGCAAGTGGGGGAGCATCCGGGGGAGCAGAGGGCGGAGGAGCGAGGGGAGCAGGTGTTGGCGGATTTGAACGAGCTGGCGGACCGTTATGGTGATTCTCCGCGCCCTGCACTGCACACCTTGCTACTGCCTGCTCTGCTGCTGTTCCACCCACCCTTGCTTGCGTGCCCCCATTCCCTGCACTCCCCGCACTCACCCTGCTCCAATAGCCTCAGCCTTGACATACTTCCCCCACATCCCTGCTCCAATTGGTGGGACACCATCCTTACTCAGGCCCATCTATCCCCTCCTCTCCTCCGCACCTCACCCCACTGCACCACACCCCATCCAACCCCACCGCACTGCACCAGGGTACGTGAGGCTAGTGGAGTGCAAGGTCAGTCGCTGCCACGCCCTGCTCGCACTGCTCCTCGACCTCTCGCCCTCCGAGTCCCCCACGCTCTTCCTCCTCCACCTCCCCTCCTCCTCTTCACCGCCCCCCCACTCCCCGCACTTCCCCTCGCGCCCCCGCTCCCCGCCTTTCACATCGCGCCTGCTGTGCGCGCCCATCCCGGCGGTGGCAACGGTGGAGTGGGCGGCAGACTCGCAGCACGTGCTCTACACCAAGCTCAATGACAAGCTGCGGTCGCACCGGTGAGCGCTGCGGTTGAGGGAGAGAGTGTGAGAGGGGGAGCGCCTGCTGTGTGCTCTCATCGCTGTGGAGTGGAGTGGGCGGCTGACTCGCAGCACGTGCTCTACACGAAGCTCGATGACAACCTGCGATCGCACCGGTGAGTGAGCGTGGTGAGAAGAGAGCGGGAAGAGGCCTTTGGGTCGCGTGCCTCGCAGCACGTGCTGCTGTGCGCACCGACACCGACGGTGGCGACAGCAGTGGAGTGGGCGGCAGACTCGCAGCACGTGCTCAACACCAAGCTCGATGGCAACCTGCGATCGCACCGGTGAGTGAGCGTGGTGAGAAGAGAGAGGGAAGCTGTTTTGAGGAAGCGTATAATGTTCTGCTTTGGAATGTTGCGTGTGTGGACGTTTAACACCATTCAATATGGTGCCATGGCATGTGCAGCACAGGGTGATGAGGCGACGCATTCACATTCCACAGGCAGGAGAGGGAGAGATATTGGAGGAGGGTGAGGAGGGCGAGGAGGGCGACGAGGGTGAAGGGGGAGAAAAGGGGGGAGAAAAGGAGGAGGAGGAGGTGTTGCGGAGTGAGGAGGAGGGGGTGGTGGTGGCGGTATCTCGCACCAAGGACTGGCGATACCTCACTCTCAACCTCAACACCCGCAGCTCCTCAGAGGTGCGCACTCCGATTCCATGCACATGCATGCATGCACATGATCACATGCTCAGGCAGATGCACATGCGTATGCACATGCGTATTCACATGCGTATGCGCATGCGTATGCACATGCTCTTGCACATGCGTATTCACATGCTTATGCGCATGCGTATGCACATGCTCTTGCACATGCATGTGAACGTGCCCTCCTTCCGTCCATGCGCCCACTGCAGGTGTATCCCCTCCACCTCCACCGCCACTGTGTACCCCCACCTCCCCGTATATACATTCCACCGCCCTTCCGTGCCTGCTGCAGCGGCGGCGGGAGGGCGAGCAGTGGTTTGTGGAGCACCATGAGGGGTGGCTCGTTGCTGTCACTGCGTGTCCCTCTCTCCACTCCTCCAACCATCCACCCCTCACCCCCCTCAACCAGGTGCATCTGCTAGACGCCCACAACCCCACGAGTCCCACGCGGTCGCTGCAGCGGCGGCGCGAGGGCGAGCAGTGGTTTGTGGAGCGCCGGGGTGGCTCTATGCTGTCACCACGCGGCTTGTGGGTCAACACGTGTGCCCCTGCACGCTTTAACTCCTCCACTCATCCGCCCGTCCACGCATCCACTCATGGGAGAATGGGGCGGGGTGATGGAAAGCGAGAGAATGGGGCGGGGTGATGGAAAGAGGGAGAATGGGGCGGGGTGACGGAAAGCGGGAGAATGGGGCGGGGTGATGGAGAGCGGGAGAATGGGGCGGGGTGACGGAAAGCGGGAGAATGGGGCGGGGTGATGGAAAGCGAGAGAATGGGGCGGGGTGATGGAAAGCGGGAGAATGGGGCGGGGTGATGGAAAGCGGGAGAATGGGGCGGGGTGATGGAAAGAGGGAGAATGGGGCGGGGTGATGGATAGAGGGAGAATGGGGCGGGGTGATGGAAAGCGGGAGAATGGGGCGGGGTGATGGAAAGCGGGAGAATGGGGCGGGGTGACGGAAAGCGGGAGAATGGGGCGGGGTGATAGAAAGCGGGAGAATGGGGCGGGGTGATGGAAAGCGGGAGTATGGGGCGGGGTGATGGAAAGCGGGAGTATGGGGCGGGGTGATGGAAAGCGGGAGAATGGGGTGGGGTGATGGAAAGCGGGAGAATGGGGCGGGGTGATGGAAAGCGGGAGAATGGGGCGGGGTGATGGAAAGCGGGAGAATGGGGCGGGGAGATGGAAAGCGAGAGAATGGGGCGGGGTGATGGAAAGCGGGAGAATGGGGCGGGGTGACGGAAAGCGGGAGAATGGGGCGGGGTGACGGAAAGCGGGAGAATGGGGCGGGGTGACGGAAAGCGGGAGAATGGGGCGGGGTGATGGAAAGCGGGAGAATGGGGCGGGGTGACGGAAAGCGGGAGAATGGGGCGGGGTGATGGAAAGAGGGAGAATGGGGCGGGGCGATGGAAAGCGGGAGAATGGGGCGGGGTGGTGGAAAGCGGGAGAATGGGGCGGGGTGATGGAAAGAGGGAGAATGGGGCGGGGTGATGGAAAGAGGGAGAATGGGGCGGGGTGATGGAAAGAGGGAGAATGGGGCGGGGTGATGGAAAGCGGGAGAATGGGGCGGGGTGACGGAAAGCGGGAGAATGGGGCGGGGTGATGGAAAGCGGGAGAATGGGGCGGGGTGATGGAAAGCGGGAGAATGGGGCGGGGTGACGGAAAGCGGGAGAATGGGGCGGGGTGATGG